TTTGTGTGGCTACCAACACTAATGTGGATTAGGGTGTAATTCAGGGATCTTGTATCATTTTCAGCCTGAGAACTGAATTACATCTCAGAGAAGCTCTTGGAGCCTTCACTGTACAAGTGGGCAGGGAGGGAGAAGGCAAAAGAAAACAGTAGATTAGGAATTTTGGCATGTCTGTGATCACAGAATCATAGTGTTGGAAAGGGCCAATAAGACCTTTGGGTCCAATGCGCTTCTCAGTGCAGGACTCCAAAATCTATTTGACAGACTGAGTGATTTTAATAAATTTCCGCTGTGATTTTCCATCAGTTGCACTCAAAGATGCCAACTGTAGTTTTACCATCCTGCTGCCCAAAAAAATCTGCTAGAAGCTCAACCAGTGACATTACTCAATATTTAAGAATAACAGGTTTTATCATTCAGATAATTTTGCACTAAGTCATGTTGAGTTATGGTGATCTTGACTAATTGTGTATATCAGTGTGTGATCTTGCTTTACTCACAAAAGGCTTTGGTAAACTGTTATTCACACTCCAGCGGGAAGGCTGTGTTAGTCTTTGCAGTAAAAACCAAAGAGGCCTGTGGTATGTTGAAGATTAACAGATGTATTGTGGCATAAACTTTGATGATTTGACATTCACTTCGTTGGTTGCACGAAGTGTTATCCTCAGTTGGCAGACATGGATAAAGAAGGAAAGCATGGAGTCAGAGGGCAATGAAATATGAAAAGTCCAGTCTGTGACTCACCCATGTTGAGCTCAAAATAAGTAAAGGGGCCATTTATAACAGCAGAAATTAGAGATGACACAACAATTCCAGCTTTGCTATGCTAATCAACACCTACAGTGGGGCATGAAGCTATTAAGGTAGTTCACAGGATCATTCTGCAAAAGAACGTGGGTTATTTGTGGGGTGTTTACCCTTATTAACCCCAGCTGACTGGGTTCAGTTGACATAACAAACCTGCTTGCTGTTGAATATTCCAGATGGTTGCACACCCACACCATGGTGGGCTACAGTGATTGCATGAATCTGGTTATTGTCTCTATTCAAGCCTAAATTAGCAGAACCCCACTTCTTGATTATTCATGCTGAAGATCTCCTTTAAGGGGAAAAGAGGAATTAAATTGGTTGAACAATCAGAAAAGATAAGAAGAGAGAAGGACCATGATACCTGCTTCTACAGAAGCAATACTACAAAGGAATCATACTGGAAGTTAAAGGCTGGAAAGAGCAGTTGATTACTAAAAGGGAAGTGGGCATGGATGAAGATTCCGGTGGGAAGTCCCAGGTGACTGGAGAAGCGCGGATGTCCCCATCTACAAGAAAGGGAAAAAAGACAAACCAGGGAGCTATAGACCAGTCAATCTAATATCAATCCCTGGGAAAATACTGGAGCAAATTATTTTAAAAAATCAGTCTGCACCTTGAAGAAAATCATGCCAAACTAACCTAATCTCATTTTTTGACTGGGTAACCACCCAGTGGAAATGAAAGTGCCATGGACATAATTTACCTAGACTTTTGCAAAGCATTCGACAAAGTGCCCCACAACATCCTGATAAACAAACTAGCAAATCCATTGCAGAACTATTGTGAGGTGGATCCAGAACAGGCTTCAAATTCAGTCACAGAGAGTGCCTATCAATGGCACTTTCTTATGACGGAATGAGGTAGTGAGTGTAACGCCACAAGGCTCAGTCCTGGGACCAGTGCTCTTCAACACAGAATCATAGAATAGTAGGGTCAGAAAGGGCCAAGAAGACCACTGAGTCCAACCCCCAGCTGGTGCTGGACACCAGTTACACCATCCCAATCAGATAACTCTATTTTCTTTTTGAATGCCCCTAGTGTGGAAGAGCACCTCTCTAGATGAGGAAGTCCAGGGAATGATAATTAAAGTTGCAGATGACAAAAAACTGGGCAGAAGACCTAATACCCTGGAAGACAAAAAGAAGATCCAGGGTGACCTAGATGAGCTAGAATGTGGGTAGGAAGCAAAGAATGAAATTCAAGAAGGACAAATGCCTAGTTCTCCACCTGGAGGGAAAAAAACAATTGCATCGATACAAAATGGGGAATACTTGCCTCAACAGAACTGGAAAAGAAAAAGGCCTTGGAGTTGTTGTGGACAACAAGCTGAATATAAGCCAGCAGTGTGATGCAGCTGCAAAAAGGGCAAACACTATTTTGGGATGTCTAAACAGAAACATCGCTTCCAGAACAACAGACATACAAGTTCCCCTTTACTCTGCACTAGTTGGACCTCACCTGAAATACTGTGTTCAATCCTGGGCATGCTGGGTTAAGGAAAGATACAGAAAAACTAGAAAGGGTTCAGAGGAGGGCAACAGAGATGATCCAGGGTCCCTGGAAACTAAGCCCTATGATGAAAGGCTGGGATAGTCTCAACAGGAGAAGACTGTGAGATATGATAGCATTCCCCAAGTACCTCAAAGGCTGTCACAAAGAGGAAGGAAAAGAACTCTTCTCATTCATCCCTGTGTGTAGGACACGGAACAACTAACTTAAAGTGCAGCACACCAGATTCAGGCTAGACACCAGGAAAAAATCCTAACTGTCAGAACACTATGACAGTGCAACCAGTTGCCAAGAGAGGTCATGGGCTCTCCCGCATGAGAGACATTCAAGGCAAAACTGGACAGTCATCTAAGTGGGCTGGTGTGACTTGGCGTCCTGCACCAGCAGGGGGTGGAACCCAATGACCTTCTTGGCCCCTTCTAATCCTACCATTCTATGACTCTGAGACCCAGCCTCTGACCAGGATTCGTAACTCATAACTCCGCCTTTCTGTGAAATGGTCCCCGTTGTTCAGTGGTGGAGCAAAGATGCACTATGACCCTTTTTCAGCCTCAGGGTCAAATTCCATTGTAGAAAAGCTGGTGTGTTGAGCAGGGGCATTCTATTACAGGGCAGAACTGAAGGCAAAAAGAATAGGGCCAAAAATACGCTCTTCCCACTCCCAGCAAATTGTATTTATTTCAAAGATATTACTGCCAGTAATTTTGTTTTAGAAGCAGCACTTTAACTGTTTAGAATAGGAAAAAACTGCACCAAGTGGAGAAACCATCAAACCAGAGGTGCTTGGTGAAAGCAGGTGTAGCTATCTGAGGAACCCCATGAAGGCCAAACTAGTACCTGGGGCTCTGTGCTCCTGCTCTACACCAAGGAAGGATGGATGCCAGGCTTACAGGTTCTATTTGTGTTTTAGCAGAACCCTAAAATCCACTTACTGGAGTCAAGTGCAAAGTAGACACACTTAGAATTAAAACAGGGCTTGCATGCTTGTGGCCTCCTGCAGATTCCAGATGCTGGATTCCAGTTCCACCATCCTCAGCCAGCCTGGCCAATGCTGAATTGCTTCACAGGCCCAAGAGCCTTTATTTAAAAAAGTAAAATAAAATCCCAGGCCTTTTCCAAACTTTGATTCCATCCGATTTGTAATTCTGTAACTGCCTTTGCTGCTGCTTTTGCTCTGGTTCTGCTGCTTTATTGTTTTAGTCACCTGCTCAGTTTTAGTGCTTTCCAACTGCTTTTAATTCTTTAGTAGCCACCCTGGCAACAACAACACAGCAAGCCGCAAGCCAAACAAGAACACTCAGAGTACTGCTGATCCGATCAAAGGCTGTTCTGCAACCTCTCTCCTACTGTGGCCAAGCAGTTACCTCTAAAAGGAGGCAATAGCCCTAGGAACACAAGAACTTGCCTTGTACCAGATTAGACCTTTGATCCACCTAGTTCTGCACTGTTGACACTGACCCACGGCAGCTCTCCAGGTGTTCGGTCAGGCCTCCTGCAGATGCCGGGAAATGAACGTGCGGCCTTCTGCAAGCAAAGCAGCTGCTCCCGCACGGTGGTCCAGCTTTGTTTCCCTGTTTTCTCCGGCCAGCAGTATTTGGAGCATTTTTGCCTCTGATCCTGCTGCAGAAATTATTGTGGCTAGCAGCAAGGAGCAGCTGCTTCATCCATGATTTCGTGTAAGTCCCTTTTAAAATCATCTAAGCTGGTGGCTAGACAATGCTTTTTTCCATGTGAAGAAGTACTTCCTTAGAAGGAGCCCTGTGTTCTGGAGTCCTGAGCAAGGGAATAAAGGAAGGCACAGAGCCTTGAAAGAAACCCTGAGTAGGATCTATGCTTGTGTAGATGGTGGGTGAGATGCAGCCTCAGGTGGTGAAGTCGCTGGGTCATTCTTTGGGGATGCCATGTTAGTCTGGTAGCAAACCTTGTTGTATTTTGTGGTGCCCCTGAGACCAATGGATCTACAACAGCAAAAGTGTTTGTGTTTTGCAAGAACACACTTTGTCAGGTGCAGATATAGATCCCACATTGTAAATCGCAAGCCAATGAAATGCAAAAGTCTGCACTGGTTTCCTTCTCTTCCCCAATATACACATATCTCTGCCTACTCACTCAGGATCACGCTTCATGAGGAACCCAGCGAGTCCCACGGAGGCAGTGCATGCCAAAATCAATGTGTTCCTTAAGGTGACTTGGGGACTCTGTGTGCTGTGAGCACAATGACGAGGTTGATGTGGGATATCTGAATCAGCATTTTCAAAGAGGCATACTGAAAAGTTAGCCATGGGTGTAGCCTCAGGGAGGAAACACCTATAAAGGCACAAACAGAACCCTGAGTGTGAAAAGTGAGTGTGGTGAGGGAGAGGCACTCTGCACATCCTCAGAAGCAGTCTTTTATTACTATTTCTTACGAGAGAGAGAGAGAGAGAGAGAGAGAGAGAGAGAGGG